ATGTGTGTCAATCAAAATGGGCAACATGTGGAGCACTTTTTATAGACTTCTCTTGGAATTACAAAAAAATGTATTTTTAATTTTTATCGCTGAATTTTACAGTTATTGTTCAATAAATCAAAAATGGTTACAAATAGCCATAGGGATGTACATACAAAAAACGTTCCTTTTTCAATTCTACATCATATCGTCCAAAAGGTTTTCCATTTGAAGAAACTGAGAAAATTCAGTTGAAATAGTTGTAAATTTAAAAATTATTTTTGCCCACACTGTATACTTTTAGGAAAGTGAAAATGGCTGTGTCATCACACAGATGTCTCATAACTGGTACTAACATATTTTTGCTTAAGATCGATAATTGTAATTGTAGTGATTTTTTAATATACACGTGTAAACGGAATAATCTCAACAAAAAAATCATTACATCCAAGTTGTTGGGAGAGAGTCAATAATAATACAGGTGTGAAAGAAGGCCACAAAGAGATTTCAAAAAAATGTTCTCATATACATGGCATTCTATTTAAAAAATGTTAGTTGACCCTGTAGAATCGTTTCACCCTGTATATTCAAAAATAAATTTCCGGTTATAGACTTTTCTGTCTAGTTTATTTATGGTTTTAAATCAAGTTTCTAGCTATCATAGAACTCGACATATCGAAGTCGGGCGCAATATTGCCCCACCCTGTTTTTTATTAAAATAAAACTGAAAATAATTGTCCTTTGTCTATTTAGGGCACACGATTCCAAAATCTACAGTCAATAACCCTGGGGGATGTGAGGAGTGTCTGTGGGTAATTCAGTTTTGTTCCTCATGTGTGATATCGGAGGCCACGGGAGGACATTCCAGATTGCGCATGGGGAAAAAAAGTAAAGTTTATTCTTATTATAAGTAAAAATTTATTATAAAATTCTATAAATAAAAGTAGACTGAACACACATCATTGAAATTTGAATAGCTTACGTTGACTAGTTTTGAGGATTTGCTAAGTTAAAGAACATTTTGACCATACCAGTTTTTTATCCGTTGTCTCGAAAAATGAGCAACGTACCCAAATAAAATGTTAGTTATCGATAAAATACAGCTTATTTCACACATTGGCTTTTTGTATCAACACATAATACATAATAATCCTCTCACGATATTGGCGAATTTACAACAAATCACCGTAAACTCGAATCCGACCCTGAATAAAACTTAGAACTAATAGCAAGTGACATTGATCAATAGCCGAGATGCTGGGGTAAGGTCCACCTCCCAGTACAGTGTTTTTATCATAATTTACCGACATTGTGATTATGTGCTTTGAAGACGGAACTCTTAACTTTATATTCAGTCTCAGATTCAAACTTCTTCGTGTAGGTAAGTACAGATAATATACTAGCATGCGTTCTGAATTCTTTTAATTCTCAATTGTCTGCTCACTTTTGCCTTTTTCCTTTTATATCTACTTGATTGTCTGGAACTTGATCTGCTTTACTATTCTCTCATTTCTATTAACAATTTTGTCACTTCTTTGCTGAAAAATATGCTATTATTTTCTTTTAGGCCTTTTGCATATGAACTTTGTTCTTTTTATGCTTCTTGTAAGTTGCTTTTATTTATATTCTTCAAATTCAACGTAAATTTCTATGATTTAATTATAAATTTCGAATTTCTTTCGGATGTCAACGTCATCTTACTTTACAAACTTTGATTCTATATTTTTTTCCCATAGCATGGGCCCCTTTTTCTCCTTTCTAATCATCTTCTCTGTACTTTAACCTACATATCCATATACCCTTCATCCTATTTCATTAAGCTGTGAACTTCGTTCGTCCTTTTCACCTTTCAAACTTAAATCTAATACAATGTTTCATTTATATGTTCAATATAACGATTAAGCTTCCTGTGGCTTTATTATATTAAACACGTCTACTATTTAAACAAATTCAAAATCATTTCATTATCTTTCACTTTATCTAAATTTCTTTCTTTTTCAGATAAGAAAACAACCAAACTTGCCTTCAAATATTCTGCAACAGTTAACTTGATGTACATGATGTAACCATGCATCCACGGCATAAAGAAAAACAACTACATATAACAATTATTTAACTTTGTACGCCTGAACGTACATCCTTAGCCACGCCATAACTTCTGTATCTTTTTGCTATGTCACCTTCTGTGTGTTATTGTATATATTTTAGACTGTATGTTGAATCATGTTGCCTTGTAAATCATTTACTTATTTCAATTTTAATTTAATATAACGTCCAAATACTATATTCCAATACAGTATAACAGTGGACGTATAAAGAAAAAAATAGCATTTCTGTCTCTGGCATATATTATTTAAATAGTAATAGTGGCATTAAGCGACCTATGAACATAGGAACCAGGTTCCCGAACTTGGTTTGTGAATATTGGATCAAGCATCAAGTTCTTTAAATGTTCACTACACAGATACTATACTTATTAGCTTGAAATCACCACCTTGTTAGATGCTCTCTTTCTAGCATATACCACTGCAAATGGTGCCAGAAAGAGAGCATTTCGGTAAGTGGTGATTTTAAGCTGATGAATGCACATATTCACAACGAATCAGAAAATCATTGGAGGAGACAACACCACAAAAAAATTATTTCAGTTGTGAAAATGAGCCTGTCGAAAGTGACTGCTGCCGTTATAGTGACGGAAAATAGAAAAAAATTAAGAATTTTGACATAAAAGTAGCTGGGAGAAAGAGAAAGTGTACTCATGTTAACTTTTGCATATCCTTAGGGGTATAAGTCAAAAAGACTTTAAAATATGTTTAAGAGTGACGGACGTAGAGTTTCATACTTATGATGACTGATGTCGATAAACAACATATCTGCCAACGTGCGAACCTACCGAACTTACACAGGCGCACTTGGGTCGGTGCTGTTGTCTCGAACCAAGATTTCCAACTCATCGGAAAAATTGTTCGCCACTACCATCGTTCGTTGAAATACACACACTTGCTAACTTGGTCATAATATGGTTAAAATCTAATATCGTTGCTAACCTTACGTACATACATACATATCGATAGTTGTTACCTATATATTAAGTAAATAGCTAAAATTAATGCGGTCGACCCCCAATAACCTCATGACATCGATTTTGGCTACAAATTATTAGTAGAACTAAAATAAATCAATAAGGTACGAAAACATCAATCGGGCTTAAATATTATTCCAAAGTAAAACCCCGTCTGTTTATAATTTGCTCACTTGACCTATTATTTGAAATTGCTCTTAAAACAAACAAAAGGAAACGTTTTATTTCCACTAGTCGGCATCATAGCTTTCTTCCCGCAAAAGGAGATCTCTGTGCACGTTTGACCCAAAGTAGGCACTGGGCAGGTCTATTTGAAATTTATTACTAGTACTTGGATGAAGGATTATTGTGTGAAGAGTGCTGTGAATTGCCTAGAGACACTTTCCAGAAATAGAAAGAAATGTTAGCTTAGGAAACATAATATTGATCTATCAAGTGATTTTTATTTGTCTTTTTATATTGATGGATAAATACCAATATTTGTGTAACTACACCACATATAACATTACCTTTTTACACATTATGAAAATACAGTTGACAAATTAAAATAAATTATCACTAAAGAACTTTCCAATGAATACTTTACCCGACCTGTAGTTAGCTAGCCAAGTTGGTATTATCTGGAGATTATTAAATTTTAAACTACCCCCAGATGCAATTAAGAATATTATTACATCATAAAAGACAATACAAAAATATTAGTCTCCAAACTTGAATTTGTGAATGTACTATCACTCGCTTGAAATATCCAAATTCCAAAGATCTAGTAATTTTAACGTTGTTGAATTGGTGGTAATGACGTGTCATATGTTATTTTTTTGTTAGCCTCGTTGGCCTTAAATAGCCAATGAGTTTCGAAAAAAGCTCTTCTGTTCTGCCAAGAAATTAATAAAGAACACTTGGTATTGCCGAGGTATAGACTTTTTGTTAAAGCACATTTGGTTTATGGTTTCTTCGAAAATAGTTGTGGATAAAATTGTCTTACTTCATTAAATGAATGCAGAGGTATTGATTGCTTTCTAATAGTAAATAGGATTTATTGGTAAACTAAACGTCCAGATTTGCTTGGTAAGTTGTAATTTATAATTTCTTCTATTAATGACCACGTGTTTGAAGATTAACTTTGAATAATTTTGTTCATGATTTATTTTAGACGTATTGGTATTTACACGTTTTGTACTTACACATTTTGGTACTTATATATTTTGGTGCGTAGAGTTTTTTGGTATATTATAAAAACTTATACCTTATTTTTTGGATTGAAATTTGGATATTGGATTTTGGAAATTTGTCGAGTTAATGGCAACTGATTTTGGAGATTTTATTTTTCTGCTTGTCCCTAGTATTGAACTCATAAAAAAACTATAGTATTGGAAATATTTTTATGGTACGGACACTTACCTCTCACACTGAAGTTCCGGGCTCGAACTCCGGTCGAGGAGCTATGATTTTTTCTAAACCAGAAATTAATCCTAACATACTCGGACAATGGATGTGTGTCCATTGTCTCCAAATGTATAGCCTTATCCCGCACAAGGTACCTTTAGGAATATAGGGGGTTGTATTACTGGTGGTGTTTAATTTAATTTAATTTTTAAATTTGTAAATTAACTAAAAATAGTTTTAAAACCTGACAGGTTCGATAGAAAATTCAATTTAGGAAAATTTTTGATTCTTGATATTTTTTTATGAGGAGGATGAGTTATCAATGGTTTTTTAAGAAAATAGGTGGGGGGAGCACAACACTTATTTGGATACTTAATTTGACATAAAATAATACTTATCTGTGCTAATTGAACACCACAGGTAATACAACTCCTGTACCCATGAAGGTATTTCAAAGTACCTTATGCGGGAGAGGGCTACACATTTAAAGACAATAGACATACACCCAATGTCCGAGTATACTAGGACCAATTTCTGGTTTAGTCAAAATCCTAGGTCCTTGACCGGGAATCGAACACGGGACTCCAAAGTGAGAGACAAGTATACTTACCACTCGACCACGAAGCCCACGAAACTGTCTATGTAATGAAAACTATTCCTGGTAAATCTACTATCACTTTCTTTCTCAGGTATTTCTTGAGATAAAAACAAATGAACATACCTAATGGGCCTTTCCTTAATTTTGTACCGAAGTGATTTTTCGACTTTTCTGTTCATGATTTTCTATTACTATAATATCTAATCTGATTCTTGCTTCACTTTGGTATACCTCTACGATTAGTTTTAGAAAAGAAATCATTTATTAGTAGTAAACATAATTCTACATTTAAATAATTTAAAAAATGAAAGATATTGATTTATTTTAAATATTAATCCGTGACCGTTTTAATTAATTTCTTTTTGGAAACATAATTTACAAATTATGAGAGAATGATTCACAGCCTCAGATATTCAATAAAAATTTGTTTATAATAAATAACGACGGGAATTTGTTTAAAGTGCATTGCGCCCCGTCATTCTTAAAATTAGTTAACGCACACATCAACTAGGTCACACCCAGTAACGGACTAATAATTTGGGAATAAAACCACACGCGTCGACCAGAACAGTGAGGTCTTCGAGTTGCAATCAACCGAATAACAAGAAACAGTTCCAGTCTTCAGTGTGCTTCGTGAAAACAGTGGTATAAGTAACAAATCTGATTGTAAACCGAGGCTTGTAGGTTGTCCATTTCTACAGAACTGGCAACCATTAAGTTAAATTTCTGAACATACCATTTCTTCATTGCAGCTATCTAGTTTCTTTCATACCGCCGATAGAATAAAGTACACCTTAAAATGAGAACTGGCGCTAGAAGACCGTACTCCGAAACACAACTAGAAGTAAATAACATCACAATTTTTTAAATACCTAACAAAATATACAAGTGATTTAATAATGAAGAAGCTGCAGCCAGATTTTCTTTATTTACCTCACTTTATTGTTCAAAAAAATGTTTCTTTATCCTGGATGCTGTCATATAAAACTATATGGTTATTTTTAACAATAACTTCATACTCTTGCATAATTATACTGTTAAAAGGTAGTAGGCTACAGAAGTTTGTCTCCATAAAATAGAAACATATTGTTACCTTTATCTGCTGCTGTGTAACCCTTATACATTTCTGTGCATTTTTATTATTTTTAATTTGCACGATTTAGTGTGTAGAACACCGACACTTTGAAGGCGTATATCTTTAAAATAACCTCAACGTAATTAAAACTGTATAAAAAAATTCCATATATTCATTTCTTTCTCAAGTTTCTATATCAAAAAAAATATATTAGAGATAAAAGAATGGTCACAAGGTGTCACTTCGTACGCCAGCTACTAGCTTTGTTATATCGTTCTGATTAAATCTTATATCTATTTAATGCTTCAACTGAGTTGTGAATACTTGTCTAAAAATAATGATAATTGACCGATAATGTTGTTATACAAAAAGAGTTACAGCTCGTCAAAGTTGTAAAAAAAACAAAAAATACGCCAGTTAAATCAGTTTACAGCAATTAAACTTTATTTTAGGCTTAATTTGATGAAATATAAAAAAAGTTAAAACGGGAACCATTGTGTAAGTTAGAAGTGAGCTCATCTACATGTAAGCATTTACTTACAATTATTCACTGGATACCTCAGAATTAATTGTCCGTAAGTTACCTTAGTTCTGATATCCACTGGTAACACTTGTAGTTTGAGCAGAAGCAATAATCAATCAGACTGACCAAAAAAAATTTCAAGTCTGCCTTGTTCTCAGAGAGCTACTTAAATTACTGGGACGTGGCATTGATATATTTAGCTATTACTCTCTACCTCAGAATCAAAGTCTAATATAAATCCACGTTATCTCAAATTCAAAGAATATTCTTGTTGGCTATTATATTAATTTCCTTTCAATAATTTTTGCATTACTTTTATAAAGGGCTTTATATAACTACTTGATAAGCATTTCCCTCAACCCCTGAGGCGACGTTTGTTAGGTTTTGAACACCCCGTTGCTTTGACAGTTATATTTGCTAGTTGTGAAAGTGCCAATTTTAATTTTCTGGCTTTAGTGAAAGTGAGTAAAGAATTAATACCATTATTTTTCACTCCTCGAGACAAGATCTGTTGGATTTTGAATGTTTCCATATAAGTTTGGGTTTCACCATATCCCCTTGTAAATGTCTCATATTAAATAATTTCCAGACTGAGTTTATAATCAACCCCAAGGCAAATAAATATTCACAATGGAACACTTTGCCATTTAAATATTGCAGTTACTCTTGTATATTATATCCTACACAGATGCTGATATAATTTACATATATTTCTGTTATGGTTAACTGTATGAGCCTTTAACTGACCATTATCCTGGAAATATATTCCGTTGCGTGAATCGGCTAACCCTAAATTAAAGCCCTCTTCAAGCATAACTTCGTTTACGCTAATTTCGATTTGAATCAGTTAACATCGCAACACATTTAATTAAATCCCCAAACAAAGATCAAATGCGAACCAAATGGTTAGAACGGATATTTCGTTTCTGCAATAACGTATTTTATCAATAAGAATTCAGGAACAAATTTTAAAAGTAAAATACTCTGTTCTTACTATTCTGCTAACGGATTTTTTTAATGAAGTGTGGTATAGTGGTACAGTTCGAGTGACATAAATTTCACTTAGTGACAAAAAAGTGAGGTTTATCTGTAAACTAGTGTATATAGGCATTTACAGTCGCATAAATTAGTTTTTGCTGTATAACTTCTCTGTAATAAGCTATTTGACTCTTATTATGAAATTGTTTTAAAAGGTTCACATTGTAGTATTAGTTAACAGAAATTTTTATTTCGCTTAAATGAAATCACTTTATAGGATAAAATAGCATTCAAAATTCAAATGTATAAATTGGCGCGAAAACACAAGCAGCCATGTTACTATCTCCTATGATATCATTCTTGTAGTAAACAAACAAGTACAAGTTACGCTCGATATCGTTTTTTTTTATTTATCATATAAAATAATGAGTTTCCATCATTATACGTGGTGTTTGATGCCGAACTACAAGAGTACAAATATAAAGACAACACAAAAGTTGTTTATAAAACTGCCAGATAAAATGAGAATGACTTGATAACAAATTGACAGGAGAGACCCAAAATTATTATCGAATAAAAGTATACCGTATTTTTGTGAGGACCACTTTGATATAAATACTCTATTGTCATATACTTTCAATAGCTTTGAGCTTTACAACTAATGTAAACAAGTAAAATCTTTCACATATCTGACATGTTTGTAATATTGATATTATGTTGGAAATTGTCTAATATGTAATGTTCTAATTATCTAAATTATACCTTTTATAAACATACCTAGTTAGCTATAAAATTAGAAGCAAATAAATATTATATACTTACACAAATGTTTTAATGCTCCTAGATTCATCGGAACAGAAATTGGGCAAAGAATTTAGCTACCATTATTGTCAATCATTGGCAAATTCGTACTGTCTGCTTTTAAAAAACCGCCCTCCATGAATTATTGTAAACTTGAAAAACCAACACAAAATCAGTCCAAATATTCATAAAGCAGTCACGATAAGATAACCGCAGGTTTTGCTTACTACAAGTGTGAAATTACTGTTGAAATGATCATGGCAGGTAGCATTTTCTGATATATGTCGTTCACAGACTACAAAATTGGAATTTTAAAATTAAAATAATAAACCAACCTCGTGTTTTCGTGAATATAAACTTATAATTTTAGATTTCTTATTCAAGAAATTATCATATTCACGTAATTTAATAATTTATTTTTAATAGTGTCAAACACCTTTGGGGTCGATTTTTCCATCTCATATTAAATTTGCTCTGTAGATAGTGTCCTTGGATATAATTGTTTCCTGGTTCTTAATTATTTACATGTTCGAAAAAGTTCTCAAACAAATCTTTTTGTAACATAATAGTAATATTAATAATAAAAGCTTTCACTAACAAATAGTAGTACAGTAACATTATGAATTTGGAAAATGATATTACTTTAAAAGCATATTTGTTAAAAGATAGCAGATCAGCATCCACGTAGATGACAGTCATCAATTTGGTGCTGCTCGTTCGCTCAACCTCAATGACGGTGGGCGTTTGTGTCTCACACGGTATGAAATAAACAATTACAAATGTGCTGATCGCCTACTTACTACTAAGATAAAATATAAATACAAGATAAATGGATAATAGCTAGAAGTAGTATAACTATTAAACTGGAAAGGTACTAACAAAACAAGGATGATTGGTAGAGTGACGTCCTGTATTGTAGAGGGTTAGTCTTATTTAAAAACGTGTGTTTATATAGTGAATATCAGTCCGATATCATCTGACTTTAGTATACTGATATGGCGTAGTGCAGCTATAGATAGTTTTGAGAAAAATCTCACTGCTAGTATATGCAACAATCGCCTCTGCTCTATGTTTAGACGACCAATTTATTTTAAATGTTAGAATACACAATTGTATTTTCTAAGATCGTTTATAAGTTGTACAAATAAATTTTGTATTTGCAGGCGGCGTTGGCACGGTTTCGTAATACTAGAACTATAAATCGCATCAATATAATTTAAATGGGAAAGAACAAGCGATTCGCAGAGAAGGATTTTGCTTTTAAATTACTGAATGATTGGGAATATGTGAATGTATTATCTAAAAGTAAATCCAAATTCTTGGCACTATTTTCTCATACTAGATCCTCATCGCCAATACCTTGTAGAAACATCTTCTGCAATCCGCTGTCCTGCCAAAGAGAATGATGACTTTCGACTTGATACCATTAATAGGAGTAAAAACTTTTGAAATAGCGACAACATCGACGTAAGATCCTGGTTTATTATGTGGCAGCCATTGTTGATATTAGTAGGCAGTGTAGGCCCTTGTAGAATTCAAAAAATGTTTAGAGTAAACAGAAGAGGCCCCAAACTTGAACTTTGGGGAACACCGCATTCTATACGAATAAAGCTGGACAGAGCATTTCTATAATCAACTGATTGAAACCTACT